AGCTGTGATGCCCAACAGATCCAAGAAGCCGTGTGCTGCATGTGGTCAGCCTAATTGTGGTGGACAAAGAAAGCGATATATGCCGTCTAAGGAAAAGCTGAGGGAAAGTTCCCAGAAAATGTTTACCTTTTGTCCACACACACGCAAATCTCTAACACCTGGCTTCTTGGATCGTGTGTATGATAGCTATGAGCACTTCAAGGAAATTGATGATGCGGAACTTGCACAAAATTCATAAATTGTCATGTTGCCTATATTTTGTAACTTTCATGAGAAGTTTAACTGTATTTTCATATTCATATGTTTACACATGTCACAAGAGTTGTGGAAGACATTTTTAGATCTGCATGATATTTATTGTATTCAATGCAGAGGTATGTGCTATGATTTGCCAGATGAAGCCAAATATTTCAACTCAAGCTGAAATGGCATATGGCTAACCCTTAAACCTCCCTTCCCTCCTTTATTCCACCCCATTCCTATCAAACCGGACGATGCTTTTGACACTGCCCTAAGGTTTGTCCTCAGAATATAAGTTAAAGAACTGGTTGCCAAACACCCTGCTCCCACAAACAACCTGTCAGGTAATGCTCTCAAACTATATCATCAATAGTTTTGGCTACAAAACGATTAGGATGTCATCATTACCTAATACGATATTTCTACGTCAGATATTTAGATCGTCAACAGTTGGCGAGTTCGCATGGAAGGCTGCCATTTTTCACCATCCGAGGGCTATGATTCTGGTGCTGTTCCTGCTGAAGCAAAGAGTAATGGAGAGCAATGATTCGTCTGTTCCTCTGAAGCAAAAGAGGAACGGAGAGCAATGAGTTGCTCGTTAAAAAACCATGTACTTGGAGGTGGCAGTTGGCCTGGGAATGGGCCAACGACCCCCTTTGGGTACTAGTCTGAGGTCGTTTGAAAAAGCTCGAATCAACGACAGCCTTCGTGGTGATCAGGACACCGGGCCTGCTGCGGCCAGAGTGTGGAAAGTGTCCGTCTGCTTGTGTTGTGGATCGTGTCCTAAATCTAGAACCGTTTTCAAAATGTTGTTTTTTGTTGTTTATGTCGTTGATGTTTTGTGCCGTGTTATTTTGTGGGTTTAGTTTTCATTTTAAAAACGAGTCAAGTGAAAGATAATAAGTAACAGAGATATAATGTATCCTTTTCAGCGAACACAATGATAATTCATAACTGAAAGTTTCAATAACATTGAAAACATTAAAAAACAAGTTTATACAAAATATAATGTAATTTAACGTCTGTCAGTTATTTCTGCAACGCCAAACGATTGCAAAAAAAGAAAAGTTTTAAAGAGTTGTTTTGGGTAAATCACTGGATAGCCTACAATAGTGTATAATCCCTGTCAGTCATTGCAACTTAAGAACGGCAGAATATTAAAAAAAAAGAAGAGTTGTTTGTTAAATACTGCATAGCACAATAAAAATAGCGTATAAGTCTCTGAACTTTTCAGTTGCATGATATCACACAATAAGATGATATTTCTATATGAAATATGAAAATTTTTACTTATTTTCAAATTTACACGTTAAAGACTGTGCAACATTTTACATCCGCTGTAAGCCTGCAATTACATGAATACAACTTTTGGCACTGCATAATATTACACTAAAAACAATGTTGATAAAACATAGTTAATTTGGCAAAGAAA